AACATTAATTTTTAAAAAGTACTTCAATTTCAATTTTTCACCCCACCCCCAATCAGCCCCTTACCATCCCTACCCCTCCAAAAAAAAATTCAATTTGTTTTTAAAAAATATTTTTAATTTCAAATTATTATTTTCACCCCAGCCTCTCCCCTCCCCGATCATCCCCCCTCCCCCAACACTCCCACCCAAAAAAAATTAATTTTATTTTTAAAAATATTTTCAACTTCAATTTTTTATTTTTCATGCCGACATCCCCCCCTACCATCACCCCCACCCAAAAAAAGAAATTGTTTTTAAAAATTATTTTCTATTCTAATAAATAAAAAATATTTCTTAAAAAACATTATTCATTCATAAATCAAATACTAAAAATCATTAACGAAAAATATTTTCTACTCACAAATCAAAAATAAAAAAAATAAGTCAAAAATCTACTTGTTTTCTAGAAAAACCATTTTCCTAAAGTAGCATCAAGCTTCGCTTGGAAACCGACAAATTTCTAGTTTCCAAATAAGTGTTACCCTTTCTTTAGAGTCTGATAGGTCAATTAAGTTGCCTAAACCAAAAACACCCTTATTAAGTATTATTTTTAAAATCTAAAAAATCTCTCATTATCACATTATTGATGATGAAAAACACTTTCTCTACTCTAATTTAATTCTTTTTAATATAGTGAAAATTTTGACCCCAAAATATGATGTGTCTGTTTAGCACATGTTAATTGAGAGAGATATAAATATTGTTTGGCAAAAGTAGTAAAATATTTATTGCTATTAAATATGTGTACACTTTTGAAAGGACACATAATATTATGGGTTGAGCTAGAAGATAATTTATAGACTCACCTATTTTCAAACCTAAATTATATATTTGTATAGTAAAATTCATTAAATATATGTAATTTAAAATTTAGTTATTAGTATTGGAATTTATTTTTTTAAAATTTAAATTTTTAAATGTGTTTTTGGATAATATAAATTAGAAGTGTCTTTTTAAGGAGGCACGAAATATTTAAAGGACAGGATGAAGGAATGACAAAACTAACTCATAAAAATATGATCTCGCTAAAATGTCTAACACATTTTTATATTAAAAATAATTTAACTTTAGTCATGCCTCTTTTAGAAACATCTCTACTTCCACGAAATAGTAATAAAAATCAACATGTATTCAATCAGACTCCACTTGTGAGATTTCATTGAATATGTTGTATTTGTAATGATTTAACTTTAAAATATCAATTTTATCCTTAATAAGATGACTTGTAAACAAACAAATATTTATGATTTATTTTAGATTATAAATTTTTTTTTCTTATATCAATCAAATGACCTTATAAATTGATGCAAGAGGAAGTATTTATTAACTCAACACATTTCGATTCATTCAAATTAAGCTTTACTCGTTCATTTTGACTCGTTCAAAATCATTCAAATTATTGGTTTTATGACTTTCTTTTTTATATATGGGAAATTCAAAATCTACATGTTCCATTTTATTTGATGA